AAACCAATCCTAGCGCCCTAGTGTCGTTCCAACAGGAGCCAGAGATGGCTGAGGAGAGAGGAAGACACTATCACATTAACATGTGAGCAGATCAACCAGGTCCTAGATGTGGGCCTCTGGGTTGTTCTACACAATAGGCTGCAAAATAAATAATAAACACCCACTGCCTTTTAAAAAAATAAGTCTTTTGGTTCTACTTGAATTCCAAAACACATGTCTTTATAATAATTTTGATAACATTTACATTTTTATTTAAAATTGCTTTTAAAAGGAAGCATCCTGGGTATTTTGTGAGGTTATTATGAGTGCTACCAGGTGATCCACACTCACGCATGCTGAAAAGTCATCAAGGTAGCACCTCTACTGAGGACTTGCTTCCTGATTCATGTTCTGACTAACGCCACACAACCTTCTGAAATGGCCCTCGCCGATCACCTTGAAAACAACTGTTGAATGTGACTACATACTCCACTTCCCAGGATTCTCAACTGCAGCATGTGAGCACTGTTCAGGCAAACACTAAGATCACCGTATCCTTTCTCTCTGGTAACAAAACATTTCACTTGGGTTTGTTTAAATAAGAAGCAAATACACACAGACCAACAGACGGACAGACAGGTAGACCGAGCCTGACCAAAATGATATCCTCGGTGACAGACAGCACTCTATAATTTTAAATGGAAGAATTTTCTCATCCAAAAGATAATACTTATGGGTTTTTCAGTTGTTTTTAGTTTCAAATGTGATGGTAAATGTTTAACTTATTTTTCTAAATTGCAGTTGGAAAAAGAGAACTTTCTTCTATTTTATTGAATATTATTCTACTGACTTTTATTCATGATGCCTTTAGCCGCCTGCCAGTAATCCCATTTCCTTCTCTTAGGATTCTAGTTCCAGCCAAATGATGGTCTAGACCAGGGGTGGTGAACCTATGCACACGTGCCACAGCAGGCTGTTTGTATCACTGGAAGCTCTAAAAGCAGCAGTTAGGAAAGATATAAAATTTAGTGTTTTTAAAAAAATGAAATACTGAGATGTTTAAATATCGCAGGTGACAAGAAGCCATTCTGGCCAAATGAGTGAGTTCTGGATGTTTCTCTTCCCTTGGTGAGTGGGGTGCAAAACAGATGATGGGTAAGCAACAAAGCCCCTGGAGGGAAATGGACCCAAATATCCGAAAGTCTAAGAATGTGGCCAGAACCAGGCAGTGGCTGCAGAGGCAAAGAGCAGAATATTTTAATTTAATTTTTTTTTTTTTGGTATCAGGGATCGAACTCAGGACCTTGTGCTTGCAAGACAGGCGGCGGAACCACTGAGCTACATACCCGGCCTGCAAAGAGCAGAATATGAAAAGCAAGAGACACATAAGAAGGAGAATAAAAACATATGTAGTAACCACTGCTGGCATGAGCAGAGATGCTCCTGCGGATACAGCACCTGCTGAGAGACCTTTCTCACTGAAAGAGCAGCAACCTTGCCTGCTGTGGTATGGCTGTTTCTAGTTGAGAAACTGAACATTAGAGGTTTTAATGCAAACCATGAGCAGCTGTGTGTCACCAACAGAGGGGATCGGTCCCGAGATGTGGTGACATCTGCCATCAGCTCCCAGGTTTCAGCACCCAGGAGAGACCATGAGGCCCTGGCATGCAGCTCAGGTGTGCTGCTCTGCCAATCTTGGAAGTTGGAGGGGGTTTCGGAATTAGGATTCTGGGACTGGTGTCAGCCAGGCCCGGGCTGGATCCCAGATCTACTGTTTGCTTCAATTTTCACTTCCAGAGCAGCGTGGCTATCTCTGGGACAGAAACCTGAGTGCCAGCTAATGAAGAGGGCGATTTGGATTAGCTGAGACATGCCTGCCCTCAGGCACCCAGGTCTAGCCATATTCCATCCTCTCCTCCTTTCTCTTTTATATTTAATAATGCACTGTTTTCAGTATTTTTAAAATACTACAATTCTATTTTCTATTTCTTCTTTGACCCAAGAGTTCTATCTTGGAGCACCTTTAAACACCCAAGCAGAAGGGTGTTCTGTGGTTTGATTTTGTTATTGATTTTCTGGTTCTATTTCATTATCCTACGAGGTTGTTGCTTGTATTACCTCTACCTTATGCAACCACAGTATTTTCTTCATGACCTAATCTTTGGCTAATTTTGTGTATACTCTAAGTAGATTTAAAGAGTATTTTCTATTACCAAAGTTTGCAGTGTATCTAGATCTGCCTTAATAATTACGTTGTTTGGATTTTCTATTATTAGGTTTTTGGTTTTGGGGTGGTTTTTTTGGTACTGGGGATTGAACTCTGGACCTTGCACTTGCGAGGCAGGTGCCGGAACCACTGAGCTAAATCCCCAGCCCTTGAATTTTCTGTATCTTACTTATCCTTTATCTTTTACTCTCCACTTTCCCTGTCTTGGATGGAGAGTGGTGTATATACTTCATTTTCTAATCTGCATACCTGTCTATTTCTTCTTGTACTTTCTGCAGTTTCTACTATAAAGGCTGCTGCTGTCTCATTTGGTTTGCATTTCTATCTATCGAACAAACGTTTCATTCAAATTCCGGCCTTCAGTATAAATCAGTCTTTCCTTGCCTTATTTTCTGCGTTCAGCTTGCATTTTCCCTAGTCACACATTAAGAGGGAAATCCATGCTTGTTGTTGTTGTTGCTCCTTTGCATTTGCCTTGTACACTTTTGTAGGCCCTGTGTCTTTCACCTTTAAAAGATCACATTGTGTTAAGTGTGTCTCTTCTGTTCAGCATCAAGTTGTGTTTGGCAGACTTCACATTTCTGACGAGTATGCTACACCTCACCCAGCATATCTTGGAATTTCATAAAATGTCTGTTTCCTTGCTTTCTCCCCTTCTTTCCCTCAACCAGGGGCAGGTCTCACCTAGGCTCCTAATCTCCTTGCTGGCACTGGGTCTGGACCCGTGTGGCCCTGACGTCTGAGCTGGGTCCTCATTTCCCATGCTGCCCTGCTGTTTCTCACCCTCAAGTGCTCTCTGTATTCCACGCGCGAGGCCCTGCAGATCCACCTCAACCGTGGGCTTGAAGAGCATGGCACACACATGAAAGTTTAAAACCCTGTCCTCCTCCACTGGCTGGGCACACAGGATGAAGCTGCCAATATGTGGATTAAGGCCTGATGTTTCTCAAAATATTCTTTAAAGCATAATTGGGCATCGAGGGATGGAGGGAGGGAGGAGGGAGCCACGGGGAAGGGGAAGTAAATAGAATTAAGATGTGTGATGTACATGTACTGTCACGAATACAATCATTATGTACTGTATTATAGACCAATAAAAATATAAAATATACAAAATTGATTGACCTAGAACTCCACTGCTGGAAGAAACCCTGGAACTCTATTCCAATTTTCTTCCCAATGTGTTAATTGCTTCTATGATACCCAAGTAAATTCTCCAGTCTGTCTGCACTTTCTGGAAATAGTTGGCTCCTGATGAGGTCCATCCCTGAGGCGGGGGTTCCAGCCCAGCTACGCCATGCAGCGGCTGTACGACACTGGCCACTTACGAGCTCTCTGCTGCAGTGTTTTATGGGAGCAATGGCAGAATCTCAGAGGACTGTTGAGGGGACCAAGCAGGGGCACAAGGTCAAAGATGGGGCAGGTGACGTGCAGGAGCAGGCAGGCATGCTAGGTCCCTGAGGTTTGGGTAACAGGAGCGCTCATCCCAGTCAAAGGAAAAACCTCTACTGGGCCCATAGATGGGAACCCAGCCGGCAGCCCTGTGATGCCATAATGTCACTAGTCCGTCCAACTTTTCTACAACAATAGACATCTGTCTTTATCATATGAAATTCTCCAATTATTCAATATGCCAACTAATTCAGATTTCTCCAAAACACAACCTTGACCATTAAAAGAAATCACACCTAACACCAATAACAAAGACATCAACTGTAGGCCCAGGAAAGAGGCAGAAATCCAGGGGGAACCCCACAGATGGGAGATGGGAGTGGGTTCCTCAAGGATTCTCCTCCTGGTCTGGCCTGTTTCCTCGCCCTTGTGCTGGTGCCTGACTGACAAAGCCACCGGCCAATCCCTGTGCAGAGGTAGCTGACAGTGGCGGGGCAGTGAGCCCCCACGGCTGGCTGGAACCCGTCCTTGTGGCTTTATCAGAGAGAGCTCACTGGGACGAGGACAGGAAGGACACTGAGCTGAGAGCCCAAGGACGACTCTCTGGCCCTTACTCCTTTGCCTTTCCCCCTCAGCCACTCTGAACCCAGCCAAACGCTTCCTCTCCAGGTGGGTTCAGCTGTCCCACACATGTACAAATAAGCTCCAGAGCAGCTGCTCTTATTTGTAGGCCTTTACTGTGGATGCAGAGGTCACCAAGAGTCCCCATTTGTGGGCTCAGCTCCTCTCTCTCTCCCTCTCTCTCTCTCTCTCTCTGTCTCTCTCGTTTTCATCCAACACAGATATGTTCTCTTCAGATGAGTTAAAGTCAGGTATTTTGGGGGGAAGGGACCCCACCCTTCCTTTCTCTTGGCTGGATTTCCTCCTAATTGCCACGGTCTGGGGTGGGTGACACCGTCCTGTGGCTTCGGGCTGGGCCCAGAGCGGCCCCTTTTTCTCTTCTGAGCACAGAGAGGTTTGGAGTAGAAAACAGCTTCGCCCACCACTCTCTGACCTGCGGAGTGGGTGCTCCGAGGCTCCCTGCGCCCCCACGGGCCCTGCAGGCGGCCACCTGAGGCACGGCTGTGTGAGAAACTCACCCGGTCGCACGCCTGGCAGCGGCAGCGCCAGGAAAGATGCTCAGAACCTTAGCGCCAGTTCGTCCACTTTGCAGAACCCTCGGAACCCAGGCCCCGTGTACACATGCTTCGTGCGGAGGAAAGGGCGGCGCAGGGGGAGGAGAGGGAGAGCGGCCGGAACTCGCGCACGCGCTCTCACTGTCCCTAACGTGCCCCGCCCCGTGCTGCTCTCGGGAGCCACGAGGCCCTCTGAGGCGAGGGAGGGGTGCCGGAGAGGGTCCCACCTGTTCTCGGGGTCCGCCAGGGCCAGGCTCCGCGTGACGTAGCACATCCTCAGCGGGATGCTCTTCTGGTCTGGGTGGAAGCAGAAGGCCTGCGAGGACTGCGGGTCCGAGGAGCCGCCCCCCAACCGCGGGGACTCGGGGGGCGGTGTCTCCCAGCCGATCTCTGACACCGGGGAGCCCTTCTTCACGTAGGGCGTGGCTTCGCGCATGTACTTCACTGCAAGCAAAAGACAAGCGCACTGAGTCCCCAGAAAGGAAGATCCCCTCAGCTGGACAAGTTAAGAGTGAACCTCTTAAATTCCAAATAAGATTCAGAATTTTTGTTCTTTGCAGCATAATTATCTTACTATTTAAATTATGTACTGATATACCTTAGATCTTGCTACTACAGTGTCCTACACTTGTGACCGTGTCTGTTTTTTCTGATTAAGTTGCACTCTGGGAAAAAGGCTGACAACAAATGGGCAGAGAGTGAGAACCCATAACTTAGGCTAAAAGATATATTATTTAATATAAATGTAAGGGATCTGGCAGGTACATTTACTGCTCACGATACCACTTTCCTGTTCAGAAGCAAGGCATGGTTTTCAATTTAATAGTTATACACAGGAAAATACATACTCTGTGGCAAAATCATCTGTCAGAGATAAAAACTAAAAATAACAAGTTAAATAAATTTTAATACAGCTCTATACTCACTAAGAACAACTGTAAGATATTTTTCGTGGAAACACAAACTTGACAGTATCTACTGTGATATCTTTGTATAAAATAAATTCATATACATTTATAGCTACAATTATTTCTGGATATATGCACAAGAAAACACTAGGAAGTTAGCTCTGGGGAGTAGAAATAAAAGTTAAAGAAGAAATAGATCCTTTACAATTTGTCTACTACCTTTTTATAGGATTTTTTCATGTTTATATGCACATATTACTTTTATAAAATTTAAAAGAGCAAAAATAACACAAGAGCTGAATGTGAATGAAGCAAACAAGTCTGATCCCTTTCTTTCTTTCTTTCTTTCTTTCTTTCTTTCTTTCTTTCTTTCTTTCTTTTTTTTTTTTTTTGAGACAGGGTTTTGCTATGTAGTTCAGGCTGGCCTTGAACTCAGAGCGATCCTCCTGCCTCAGCCTCCTGAGTGCTGGGCTCACAGGCGTGCCCAGGACGCCTGCCTGAAGTTCTGGCCTTTGATGTGTTTGTCTCAGTATTAAGAAGTTATCTTTTTGCTTTGTTAACCTTTTGCATTTCTAAGTTTGATCGCTTGGTCGGTAGACAGGTTTTGAGTTCACAGGCAACCAGCTCCTTGGAGCCTGAAGCAGGAACATGATAACCTCCAAGTCAGCCCGCCCTGCAGTCTCTGCTGCAGGGTTATGGCTGAGACCCGCCCAGTAAACATCACTACAGCTAGAGGGCAGTTCCCTCCAGATCTGCTGCCTCCACTGCCCATGCCGGAGCCAGGGTGCGGGAGCCAGCAGAAAAGAACCACGAGCAGCTTCTACCAATAAAAGAATTTAATTAAAAAAAAAAAAAAAAAGACTCACACGTCATGGCTGGCCCCACAGGCTTTAGGGGACTCCCATCTGGACCCCTTTCCTACAACCCATCTGCGGGTGTCAGCTGAACACAGCTCAGAGCTGTCTCTCTGCTCCGACGAACTGCTCTAGGCCCAACAGAGAGCACCAATCCCAGGAGGCTAGAGGGCCCAGACAGAAGCCCCTGCACAGGATGGAACACAGGACAAGCATGCAAGCTACGGCACAAAATTGAATGAGCTAGGCTTTCTAACAGAAATAAAGCACCTTGGAAGAACCCTTTAAAAACAGAAGAATCCAGGCCAGGCGCATCAGAGTGGATCCAGTGTACCACAGCTCTGTGAGCAGAGAAGATAACACACCCAGGTGCATGAAGCGTGGGCAGACCCTGAACTTGGCTGCTGAGAGCAAAACCCGCTGGATTAATACAAGGCAGAGGAGAAGTCATTTGGAACTAACACGTATTTTACAAGAAGATTCCAGGGTTTTCACTGAATATAAGAGCAATTGGAGGACTGCATAGCCCATGGTTGCTGGGAACCTGTTAGAACAGGCTATATTTACAGAAGCAGAAAGATTATTCATGAAATGCGCATTTTAAGTAATATTATTTCTGTGCTTAGAGAGGGAACACAGACATACCTGAGGACAAATGCAGAGAGCCGAGGAAAGGGTTACATTGTGGAGAGGTAGAATAATAGAACTCTCTCTTTTTTTTTTGGTACCAGGGATCAAACTTAGGTCCTTGCACTTGCAGGGGAGGCCGTGGAACCACTGAGCTAAACCCCCGGCCCTAGAACTCTTTTTTAAAGATGCTGAAATTTTTCTTTCGTAGCAGCCAGAACACTGCTTTTTATTGCACAATCATACTTATTGATAGACAGGAAGTTGGAGCATCACTGGAGATGGATTAAAGATTTTCTTTTGATTGCACTGCTGCTCTCTCTGGGCTGGAGTTCAGGATGAGTCTGTTGGGAATGGAAATTAAGGATGCTTCATGGAATGGGTGACATTTGAATCTGATTTTCAAGGGTAGCCAGAACTTTTTAAAAACAGAGATAAATATCTATCTTTTATATGGAATGGTGGAGCAAGAGTTCAATTTAACCAAAGATCGTATTCTTTCATGAAATCTGACTCTGCCATTACATGGAAGATGAAAAATGACAGTCCTTCTTTTATGTAAGGGGCTCCGGTTTACAATTTTTATTGGAATTTCATGGGAAAGGAAAATTAGTGCTCCATTTGTAAGAAGATAAAGAAGAAACATTTATCATACACTCCCGATGTGCTATGTATTGAACCAGTTTCTTAGAGTGCCTTCCCATATTTAACTTTCAAAACTACTCTTCAAGGTCCTGTTTTGTGTTTAAGAAAGAAACTAAGGTCTAGAGAAGAAACAGCTGAGGAATTTTTTATGTATTGCATGTCCGTGTATTCACAGCAATGCAGAATAGGAATGCCTCCCTCTCCCTTTCAGACCCTGCAGAAAGAAATGCTTTGTTGCGCTGACTATCCTCATTCTGGTCAATGCTGGTGGCTTTACATGGGCTATCCCTTGCAGGTTGGTCTTACTGCATACCCCAGCACACAGATGCTCGGAAGTTTCTCCTACATGGAATCACCTTGTTGGTGAGGGGTGGAGTTAGAGTTTGATTAACCAGAGACCACATTTTTCCACGAAATCTGGCTCTGGCACTTAGATGCAGGATGCAAAATGACAAGCTAGATGTTTGGACTTCATTTAACCGGCAGTAGTGAGTCTCATGGTGTTCTATGAACAACAGTGGCAAAACCAAAGATGAGCTTTCGACAGAGCATCCGGAAAGTAAGGTTGGGTGGTACTTAAAGGAAAACATATTAGAAACAGATCCACTATTTCCAGGGCCACCGAGGGTTCCTGCCAGACGCAACCTAAGCAACAGTCTCGAGTATTAATTTAAGGTGTAAAGAATCTCACAACTTTGTGCTTTGAGGGCCAAAGCACAGGGAGGTGTACAAAGTCTTGGCCTGGAAGCACCAGTTCCTGTAAGGCAGAGCGCTGGGGTAATTTGAAAAGGAGAGGCACACAGCAACCCTGAGGAAAGTACACCGCACTGGGGATGAGAGTCAGTATAGGGGAACCCCTTCAATTGAGCAACTGGAAAAAAAGACAGAGGAAATCAGTTAACAAGTTAGGGGTGCTAACTTAAAAATTAATTCCTTCAGCCAAAATTTATCAGTTAATTTTCATGTGAAATGACTTCTAATTCGAAGAATTTAAGCCTAGAAAAGAAGAAGCGAAGTAAGTAGATGACAGAATTGGTTGTATGAAACACTACCCTTGGTTTAAGGAGGTCCTGGACCCCACAAGCCTCCAGGAGCCTACCAGAATCAAACACAAATCCTCTCTAGAGAAAGGCAGTTTATTTCTAGGAAAGAATCCCTATGAATCATTTTGGCATAAAAATTTTTACGAATGTTGAACACAAGGAAATCAGGTACCAAGAGTAAGAGCTAGCACACGAACCCTCCAGCAAAAATGGTCTCACACATGCTAGCTAAAGGTATGTCTACAGAAGCCACAGAGCACTTGAGGGAATCAGGCAGAGATTATTTTTAAAATGTCCTAATAGACTGGGAAAAGAACCAAACAGAATGTCTAGAAATAACAAGAAGAACAGAATTAAAACTTCAATAATACATCAGAAAAAAACAATGAATTGTAGATAAAATGAAATTACATATAATGTAGCAGAAATCTGAAAAAAGATGGGAAATACAAAATAGAGACTGAGAGATACGAAAGATGAAGTAAGGAAGTCTAGTATACGAAGGGTGATGAAAAATACAGTGAATATTTGAAGTTTTAAAAATTCTTTATTCTGGATACCCCTGTGGCCACCTAGCTGAAAACTGGTGAGGGGAGGCTATTATTCTGGAAGAACAGCTCTAGTTTGGGATACTTAGTTCAGATCTAGACAGTAGGGGATAACTCTCAGTTTTTGCATCAAGGATGTATCCATAATTCTTTTAGAGTTTAACAAACTAGATTTTACAACAAATAAACACAAGTGAATTGTGAGAGCAGTAAGTTAAAAATACAAGAACTATGTTCTGTGCACTTTGCTAAGTGTTTCTTGTGTGCAGACTCATTTGAACCACATAACAACCTAGGAAATAGGCTAGAGTTGTATCTAGTCAGTTTCTTATTGCTGGGACAAAATACTCGACATGCACAACTGAAAGGAAGAGAGGTTGATTTGGACTTATGGTTTCAGAGGTTCAGTCCATGGTTGTCTGGCTCCAAGGTAGAAGCATCATGGTGGAAGGGCATGTGGACAGAGGTACTCAATTAATGACAATGAGAAAGAGAGGGCAAGACAAGAGCCAGAGAGGAAGAGGGCAGGGACCAGGTATAATCCCCAAGGTCACACACCTATGACCCACCCAGAGACACCCAGAAATAAGCTTTACTAATTGCCCAAGTGTCTCTCAAGACAGTCAAGTTAACAACCAAGATTAACCGTCATAAATCAGTAACCACCCCCATTCTACCTAAAACCCTGCAGTGGAGACAGGTTAAGTCACATGTGTAATAAATCGGCCCTAGGATATGGCAGGAGCATGAGGCAAACCCAGGAAGACTGGCTTCAAAATCCTTCTTTTTAACCATGAAGTAATACTGTCTTTTACAATT